GAGAGAACTACATTTATCTTGCATTGTTAATTATACTTTTGTTGTTGATTTATTTTGTTCTGGAATGAGCTATCTGCAATCTTTAAAGATAAAATGCTTTCTGTTCATTTCTATTTTTGTTACTCTTGTATCTATTTCTTTGTTAGCTTTGACCTTCCTGTTATTGGGATAGCCGATTGCTGCCTCTTTTCTCTGCTGGTATTCATCATCTAAGTGGGGTCTATGATACTTTTAAAGAAATAAGCATTAATTATTTTCTTCAGGCTGCACATAAACACCCAGACTAGTATATGTGGTTTATGCAAATGAGTAGCACCACTGTATAAAAAAACAGCTTTCATTTCATTTACAATTATAAACTTAATTTTTTTCAGCAATTGATGGATTAGGGTAGTAGAGTGTCCTTGGCAGGCGAGAAGAGTGTCTAAAAGAATACTGCAGGGTTATCCGTGACGGACACACTAACAGAAAAAGAAAATACAAAGGAGATGTAATAAATTGAGGAGACTCTTGCTTTAGACCTGCTCACAAGGGAAAGTTAGAGTAAGTCAGAGAATGCATGGTATTCATACTTGTAGATACAGATTAGTTCATTCTGCTTAATGCCCCTGTAATACTAAGAAATGTCAGTTTTAGAGAATGTGATATGCATTGTCTATATAACCAGAGATTATGAAATTGTTCATGTTCAAGCTACATGTGGGACTGCAGTTAGGATTCCATAAAGAACTAAAGTTTGCATTTCAGATTCTAGTGGGGAAAACAGAGCCACAGATCTGTGAGATGTGAGCATGAGGCCTGCGCTGGGAGCCGGGTAATCACTGGTGCCAAGACCAAGGCTCACTGAAAAGTCACCCGCTGAGATTCCCAGAAGGCACCACAGGTGAAGAAAGGAACACCTCTTTCCTAATTACACCCATGAAACAGTATGGTTTACCCACAGGCTGGGCCTGTGTACAGAACCGTCATCTCTCAAAGCCCCAGGGGAGTTATGAGCCAGCTTCACTAAGAGAAGGGCAGAGATTTCCTGACCATGACAATGAGGAAAGGGAATGGAGGACCATAGTTTGTCTCCCCAACTCAGAACTGTCAAGATCTGACAGGCCAGATTGTGGAGAATGACACCTTCCCATCAACAGAAAAGCACCTTTGTCCATTACTAGGCCACAGTGTAAAGTTTCCTTAAACATATATTAGCCAACAGAAATTAGCCTCTAGGAAGTCTACAGAAAAGGCAGTGTGGAGCACTGGAGAAAACATGGGCCTTGTCTTTGGAGAGCTCAGTGCTCAATGCTGACACACAATAATGCATAATAAATGATAGCCAGTCATGGTGCAGAAAAAGGAATGTTTACTCATCTTTTCCTCACCTGACTGCTCCTTCGGAAATAAAATCCTTCATTCTACCTAAATTTTCCATGTGACTAAAAATTTCTATTCTCTACCTTAATAATTTTGGGTTTGGAGACAATAGTGGTCAGAATTTCAGGAGCTGGAGTCAGTCCCTGGGTTTGAACGCGAGCTATTCCGTTTACTGGCTGTGTGATCTCACGCAGGCTATGTGTGCCTGAGATCTCAGCCTTGCCTGAAAGTGGGCGCCATGACAGCACTTATACTTCACTGGGCCACAGTGAGGATTAGAAGAGATAATCCATGCACAGGACTAGCACAGCAGCTGGCACATGGATATTCAAAAAACAATTCATTACAATGACAGTATCACCCACTAGGACTTTTATTATTCACATTCTTATTATATTTATTCTGGAATAAAATGAGAAGCAATGAGTTTTACATGATTAATATGACACATTAGGAAAGTTTAACCCAAAGCTTCTATTCACCATTCCCTTTGTACCCAAAAGGCCCTGGATGTTGATTTTTAATTGAGGAAATGAACAACTTTGCAAAACATCTCTAACAATTCACAAAGAAATATCTGGTTTTTCTGGTAGGTTTTTGTACATTGTGAAAGCAGCCAGAGGCTTTTCAAAGTTTTCTAAACTGATAAGACAATGAGCTGCCACTGCACTATACTAGAAAAGAAAAAATAACCAGATTGGTTTTGGAAAGCCTACCTTAGAGGCAGCAAATATAAGTTAAAGCTATGCATTTCAACTTAAGTTATTAGCATAGAGGGTTTATACTACATATACTCCTATCTTTCATTTTTCTAGAAACAAATTAATCCCAGAACCACTGCAGTACACTTTGCAATATTAAAAAAGAATTACCTAGATAGAGAAAAATGCATTTGGGAGCCATCAAAGTATGTTTTAATTAATCTATAACATAAAAATGTGAAATAAAAATAATTTGTCTTTCCCATTTTCCTTTCAACTTTCTTGGTATATTCCAACATTAGAGTATATAAAAAAGCATACCTAAATACTGAAAATATCTAGCAATTCAACCTGAATATTATTTTCTTGTTGGTCAAATTAATGCATTCTAATATACTCCAGGGAATTCTAATTGCATGAAATTTATGCTAAATTTGTTTTTCAATTTTTCTTCTACTTACTTGTGCAGCCATGCAAAGGAAGGTATATATTAAAAGCCTTCTCATTCATCATTTACTTGCTTATTAATTTGTTTGGGAATTAAATTTTGTTTTCATAACAATTCTTCATCTGGAAATACTGGCTCATATAAGGCTCACTACTTGAGATTGATGTTCCTTCTTTATGAGGAAATAAACTGATAAGTTACACAATAGAGCAAGTAATGGAAGAATCTGGTTAAACAAGCTTTCTAAAAATAAGACAATTCATTCTATATACATGGGCAGATTCCTAAATATTTGAAAGCCATAAAAGACAATTAACTCTAAAACTATACATATTTCAGAAAATCCAATCTTTCACTAATGATGCCAAAGATAGTTTAGGATGCTACAATGTTACAGGTCATCATTAACAAAACTGGCCATCATTGTATTATGCTTCAGCCAATGAGATGCCAGATGAACTAGTTTTTACTCTACTGGTCTGCCCCATAAAGCACACATAAACTAAGGGAACATATGGTCCTGCTAGATCCTACCAAAGCTATAAAAATTCTGAATTAGTGAAATTCTGACTTAGACAATGTAATTCTTAGTCATATATACCAACCTGGACATACAGAAATCCCTTTTAATTATAGTGCTAAATTTAATAATGGATTTTTAAAGTGCCAAGTCAAATAGATAACCATTGTAGTACATAATCAAACAAGAGACTTAATATTGTTTTTCTCTAGTAAATAAATGAAATTCTGCTTTACTAGATTCAATGTATATATTTTAAAAAATCAGGTGACACAGGCTTCTAGATTAATTCAGTAAATTAATTTCAATTAATTTGCATGGACGTCTAGATTTTGTATAGTACATGTATTAGTTTTTTATTGCTGCTGGGACAAATTACCACAATGTGAAATCACCTTGAGCTGAAATCAAGGTTGCCTAGTCTGTGTTTCTTTCTGGAGGTCTTGAGAGAGAATCACATTTCCTTGCCTTTTCCAGCTTCTGGAGGCTCCTGCATTTCCTGGCTCATGCTCCCTGCCTCCAACTTCATGTAACCTAATGTAGTCACATCCAGGATGTGAGGCATTTTGTGTGGCCATTATTCTGCCTATAATGGTACATCAGATTTTTGCCTAAACCTGTAATATTCAATTCAAGTTAATATTCACCCAGTAAATTAAAATTCTCTATTATTATTATTATTATTTGCAATGAAAATTTAAAATAAAAATATGTAAATGTGCAACAGATTGTTACATTTTAGCTCAATAGGTATGTCAATGTGCCCAGCCACTGATTTCTTCCCATTCATGTTTGCATAAATTTGGCACTTCATCCATGAGTTTATCACAACTCAGTACACTATGATAGAAGTATTATTCCCTCAAGACAATGTAACACATATTGCTTACTATACCTGTTATATATTATTGCACATTATCTTTTTTACCCCGAGGCTACATCTCAGACACAGTAAAAGCTTCATAAGGAAATACTCTTCCAAAAACATTGACTTCACACATACATTTTTGAGGAAGAGGGCTTTTGGAAGAGTTGATTGTTAGTGTTGGCATGGATTCTGGAGATACCACATGCTGTGTTAGAAAGGATGCAGAGAAAACTTGGCTAAGAGACCCTCACCGTCTTGCTTGAGGTCACTAAGCTAATCTGAGACAGATCTGTCTCCTGATAGACTAAGTCAGCATTTCCCCCACAATTATGACGCCATTCACCTTGCACATGAAATAGTCAACTATTACTCTTCATCACCTTATCACATTGTAAATCAATAACTTTGCCAATTAACACCTCAAGGGATTGCAGAAGTTGTATTTTATTATTCTGTCCTATGACAACATATAGCCTAACCCAAGGATAAAACCCTAAGCAGACCCTGTGTAAATTATAGAAAATTTATTACTGTTACACAATAAGAAGAAACTTAGTACTTAAAAAAGAGAAACTGCCAAGTAGACAACAAAAATGAAGGATGATAAACCTAGACCAATATTGCAGCTAATTTCCATAAATCAAAGAAAAAACTTGCAAATACTGAACTTTTTCATGATTAAAACAATGATGTTTTCTTTTGGTGGATTACAATGAAACGAGCACAAGGACTTTTGAAATGTATTTTCTGGGACAAATAAAAGATGATTTAGAAACAGCACAGTCTGAGCAGCATCATTATGTCCAAAGCATTATAGAAATTCTGTCATTTCCCCCAAATATTTTAATGCATGCTCAAAAATATTAACTAAACACAGTTATAGCCTTAACTTAATAAATTACAATTGTCACTCTGATTTTCAAACTAATTTTGTTCAAATATTAAATGCATATTATCTCTATAAATATAGAGATATATAATTTCCTTTAGAAAATAGGACTAAATTTCACTTTTTAAAAAAGTTGTAGGAGAAAAAGCCTCTTAAGTTATCAACATAACTTTATTTTCTTGGTTTGTAAAGGAGACTTAAAATCAACTTACTTGATGTAATAGGGCACTTTATTATGTGAAATGGATCTTTGCCACGGCAGCTGGACTGAAGCTGAGGAAACAAAGGGAGGTTATTGGAAACACTGCTAACCCCACAGCCTTATGCCTTAATGCAAAGCAACTGAACATGTTTTACAGCAAATTCAATGAAAAATGCTCTGGTTTTCCAGCTGGATTCCTATAATTATAAAATCTGCAAGGCCAAAAAAACAGTCACTTTAAAAATTCATTTGAAGCAATAAAAGAACACAGGTCCAATTTCTAATGCCACCTCGAAGTAATTGAACTTGTTGATAAAATTACTTTTCAAAATCAAGTTTTATTGTTCATAGTCAACGCAGTGTAAAACTTAGTACTCTTTGGAAATATATATATATATGGCATATCCAGATTATAAACTAAATTTCTCAAGACTGAAATTTCCAAGTCACTAGTAACATTCTTTGCTTTATTTTATAGTCACAGGAATAACTATTAAGAACAATTGGCATTTAAGCAAACTCAATCATATGAATTTTTAAAAAGGAAAATTGAAATAAACATAGGCAAAGGGTTGTAAAGAACCAAGGCAATTAAATGGATAGAAGAATCTCAAAAATGTATTTCATTTTAAATACACAGAAAATATAGTTTCCTACATTTTTACACTTGACATCACTATGATGGAGACTTTGTGAGACTTTTTCACTGAGGTACTTCTTTTTTTTTTTTTTACAAATTCTAGTTACTCCTTATATTATTCCCAAATTAAGCCAATTATTTTAAGGCTTATTTAAGAAGAACTGTACATGTGAATTTAGAAAAATTTTGCTAAATGAACTAATAAACAAATTAAAAAATAAATAAAACTTCGTAACTATCACTAGACTCTCATACAACTAGTTCTCACCAATATTCTTTTCTGAATTTCATGTCATAGTACTACCTCAAAAATATATATCATTCTCAACTCTGTAAAGCATTTGTGAATATATCTGTTGATAAGGAAGCCAACAAGATAGATATTAAAGCTCCATTTGATAAATGAGGAACTAAACATTCAAGAGGTTAAATAATTTGCTTAAGTAAATGGCTGAGCTCAGACATGATCTCAGGGTTTCTGACCACTAGTTCGGCAACCTTTCTATTCAACAATTCTTCCTCTCTTTATAAGATGGGAGGACTCCCTTCTCTAACTATGTCCATGAAAGTCTTAAAAAGGGATGAAAATGTGGAGTGAAGCATATTAAGCTTCTCATTAGAGCCAACCTCATTTCAGTGTTGGCACAGGGTAATAGGTCGGTTTCTATTTTGTGCCTAACTAAACAGGCTCCTTTTATAACCAGGGCTAATGTCCAAGAAATATAATAAAGCCAAAAATTCCAAGCAGCAGGGATAACAATTGTTCAATTTATTAATTGGGATTGTGTTTACACTTCTAAATTCATTTTCATAATTGTTTTAATTTGAATAATTCTGACTTCCTTAGACTATCAGTGCTAAGACAATAGAAGGCAATGCACTTGAGGTTCACAATTTTTACAAATGTTTTATTTCCTAAGAAATAAGACTTTGATTTTTATTATGAAAGAATAGCTGCTAAGTGTCAAGTTTCATCAGTACTAATAGATGACTAATCCTTATAACAGAAGTGTAAATAGAGTCTCAGTTCCTTGTTAAATTCTCTTTAATTTGGTCTTAGCACAAGGCTTTATATTCTATAAAAGTAAGTTTAAGAAATCTGGAGTGATTCATACCAAACAAATAGATTGCAAATTATTTAATTCATCAGCACTGATAGTATCCAAACTTTAGAAATGCATCCTGGCATGCAGGTAGACTTTATCTTCCAGGAAGTGCTATAGATCACTCAAAGATGGCCCATCTAAGGGCTCAGGTGTGTGAGAGAGGCGGGGGAGGAAGGGAGGG